CTGCTGGGCTCCGGCGATCCTTCCACCTCAGCCTTCCAAGTAGCTGCGCTATCACGCCCGGCTAATTTTTAATTTATTATAGAGACAAGGTCTCATCAAGTTGCCCGGGCTGGTCTCAAACCCGCAGGCTCAGACAATCCGCTTGCCTCGGGTTCCCAAAGTGCTGGGATTACAGACTCAGCCACCAAGACATTTTTTTTTAAAAAGACCCGAAGGAGCCATATGCACCTCTGGCAAAAGCGCTCCAAGGCAAAAGTGCTCCAAGGAGCAGGGACAGCAAGCGCAAACTGGCCCTGAGGAGGAGTGTTCTCAAAACAGCCAGGAGGCCATGTGGCTGGAGCAGAGTGAAGACGGGAGGTCAAGGGGCAGATGAGGTCAGGAGGCAGCACAGACAAGGCTGCAGGGCCTGGTGGGCCACCAGAACGCGGGCTTTCATTATGTGTGAAACATACCAGGGTCTTTCTCCAGTCCCAGGCCTGTCTTGCAGTCCCTTCTCTCGGCCGGAGCGGGGCTTTCCTAGGCTCTGCTGCCACCCCCATCTGCCCATCACCGTTATTTCTTTCCCTTGCTAGTCCAAGTCATAATGACGACGTGGTGACAGACCCACTGCTTCGCATTGTTTTGGAACGCCCGCTCTGGCAGGCACATTCAGAGTTCCTGCCTGTTCTATCCATCCGAGTAGAAGGATGAAGGGATGAGGGAAACTCAAATGGAGGCCCAACCCAAGCTAAGACAAGTCTGGAAGGAGTTGGAGACTGCCAGTGAGCTACGACGGCATCACTAAACTCCAGCCTGGGAGACAGAGTGAGACCCTGTCTCAAAGAAAGAGAGAGCAAAAGAGAAAGAAAGAGAGAGAAAGGGAGGGAAGGAAGGGAGGAAAGGAGAAAGGAAGGAAGGAGAGAGAGGAGAGGAAAGGGAGGGGAGGGCATGGGAGGGAGGGAAGGAAGGGAGGAAGGAGGAAGAGAGATTTGGAGGGCTCCCAGGTAGAGGCACCCTGGAATCTGGCTGAACCTACCTTCACGCAGGGCACGTACACAGGGTTAAGAGTCTCGCCACCCAGCCGCACGGGCACCAGGATGACCACAGACTTCCACTCGGCTGTGGGGTCCGGCCTGGCTACAAGGCGTGCCACATCCGCCTTGTACACTAGAAGGACAGGACAACCTCCTTGGCCACCCTTCAAGCCCCCAGAGTGTGGCCCTCTAACCTAAGGCCCAACCTGGCCCATGCAACCTGTTGGCAGCCAACACTGTCATCGACAACCAAGAACGTCTTCCCAGTACCCCCTAAACCCCCCCACCCCAAGCAACCCTGGAAACTCCAGGCAGGGGTGGGCAACCCCATTTTAGAGAGGGCAATCAAGGCCCTGAGATTCGGAGCAGGACCGTGAAGCCAGGAGGAGGTAAAGCCTCTTCTCCAAGGCTCCTCGCCAAGCCAGGCCTGACCGACACCTTGGTTTGCCACTATGGAATGGGAGCCCTGAGCTTACTGCCCTTAGACTGGACATGCTGGTGTCTGTCCTTCCCCCTCGAGGTCTTCTGCCTGTCCCTTGCTGCTACTGATGCCTGTTTCTTGCTCCCAGCGAAATGAACTCAGCTCTTTTTGGAGATGTAGTTCTCTGAAAATTGAATCCTGTCCCAAACTCCTACAAGTTTGCATAAAGCAGGTTTTGTAGATTCACAGATATTGTCCACTGGAGGCTCCTGTTAAGTGAGAGCCCTCCTAGATGGATTTGGGGGGGGGAACAATAATAATACCTAATATCCAGTGAGCATTTCCTATATGACGAGCACTGCTCTAAGGATTTGACTTGTGTTACTGACTCATTTAATCCTCATGACGACTCTGTGAGGCCTGAGGAAAGAAGGACCTTATGTCTCTGTTCTTTTTTATTTTTGAGTCGGAGTCTCACTGTCACCCGGGCTGGAGTGCAGAGGCATGATCATGGCCACCGCAGCCTCAACCTGCTGGGCTCAGACAATCCTTCCACCTCAGCCTTTCAAGTAGCTGGAACCACAGGCATGCACCACCACACTTGTCTCGCCTGGCTCATTTATTTATTTATTTATTGCAGAGACGAGGTCTCACCAAGTTGCCCAGGCTGGTCTTGAAGCCCTGGACTCAGGCAATCCTCGTGCCTTGGCCTCCCAAAGTGCTGGTGGTGTGAGCCACCACACCTGATTCTTTTCTCTTCTTTTCTTTTTGAACCAGGGTCTTGCTTTGCTGCCCAGGCTGGTCTCCACCTCCTGGCCTCAAGCAATCCTCCAGCCTCAGACTCCTGAGTAGCTGGGATTAATGGCACATGCTACTGTGCCCAGTCTGGTGTCCAGGTTACTCAAGGAGAAGGCGGTGAAGTTTCCCCTTCTGGTTCCAGAGGGAGAGGCAGAAGGGTGGGATCCTATGCACCTCCCACTGTGTGGGCCTTGGGTCCCTTCCAAGTCTCTCTCTGACCCAGAACTTATTCCAGGCTCTGAGGAAGGCGGGTCCTAAAGGCCAGTGAGGCATGACAGGCTCAGGGTGAAACAGCCCGACCTTCGCCCAGCCCCATACCTGTGCAGTCCTGAGAAACATACACCACCAGGCGCGTGACTTCGGAGCAGCTCTCCACAGCTTTCCTAGGGGCGGGAGGGAAGGCCTGAGTTCCTGGGGGCCCCCAGCAGCGCCCATGCTCCCTGCAGCTGCCCTCACCTGAGGATGTGTGCCACCAGCGATGGCCCGTACCAGTCACCGGCCTTCTTGCCCGAGCTCTGTCCAAGCTCCACCAGCCGGTGGAGACCGAAGGGGGCCCGGGGGTGGTCAGCGAACCAGGACACGATCTGCCGGTGCCGGCGTTCCTGCTCCAGCTCAGGGGCACCCTGGGCCCAACGTGGGGGCATCCAGCGGGCAGGCCCACGGTACCGGCTGGGAGAGGCCGGGCCCGACAGCTCAGGAGGGCCCAGACCCGTGCCCTCAGCCCACGTCCAGTCTGGTGGGGATGGAGTACATAGTCAAATAGCGCTAGCACGTGTGGGGCATAGTTCCTGTTACTCAGCATTGCAAGCAATTCTGACCTGCAAATCCTGTGACTACCTGCCATTTGCACATTCCTGAAACTCTTGTTATTTTCTGAGAAAGGGTATCATTCTGTCACCCGGGTTGGAGTGCAGTGCTGCAATCATAGCTCATTGCAGCCTCTAACTCCTGGGCTCAAGAGCTTCTCCTGCCTCACCCAAGTCCCTGGGACTGTAAGCATGCCCCATCATGCCTGGATAAGTTTTTAAAAGTTTTTTAGATACAGGGACTTGCTGTGTTGCCTGGGCTGGCCTCAAACTCCTGGGCTCAAATGACTCTCCTACCTAGGCCTCCTAAGTATTTGGGATTACAGGCATGAGCCACTGCACCCACTGAAAGGCTTATTTTATGAACAACTTACAAGCACCCCCAAAATTTGCTTGACATGCATTTCTTTTTTTTTCGTTTTTTTTTACTAGGAGTCTCACTCTCATCCAGGCTGGAGTGCAGTGGCACACTCATGGCCACTGCAGCCTTGACCTGCTGGGCTCAGGCAATCCTTCCGCCTCAGTCTTCCAAGTAGGCGGAACCACAGGCACGTGCCACCATGCCCAGCTAATTTTTTTTTTAATTGAAGAGGTGAGATCTCGCCAAGTTGCTCAGGCTGGTCTTAAATCCATGGGTTCGGGCAATCCTCTTGCCTCTGCCTCCCAAGGTGCTGGGATTACAAGTGTGAGCCGCTGCACCTGGCCTCTTTTCTTTCTTTTTTTCTTTTTTTCAGTCGGGTCTCACTCTGTAGCCCAGGCTGGAGTGCACTGGCACGATTATGACTTAACATACCTCAACCTCCTGGGCTCAGGTGATCCTTCTGCCTCAGTCTCCTGAATAGCTGGGACTACAGACATGCGCCACCATGCCAGCTAATTTTTTTTACTTATTATAGAGATGAGGTCTCACTGTGTTGCCCAGGATGGTCTTGAAATCCTGGGCTTGCCAGGCTCGGTGGCTCAGCCTGTAATCCCACGCCTTTGGGAGGCTGAGGTGAGTGGATTGCCTGAAGCCACGGGTTCGACACCCGCCAGGACAGGCGAGACCTCATCTCTATAATAAATCAAAAAATCAGCCAGGTGTGGTAGCGCACACCTGTAGTTCCAGCTACTCGGAAGGCTGAGGCAGAAGGA